AAAGGAATGGGAGAATCACCCTGGCTAGGATCAACTTTCCAGGAGCATCACCCTGGCTAGGATCAACTTTCCAGGAGCATCACCCTGGCTAGGATCAACTTTCCAAGAGCGTGATCCTGGCTAGGATCAACTTTACATCTCCCAGATCTTCCTGTACAGTGATGCTTTTCCTCCTTGAAATAAGCAGATTCCAGGTCACAATCTGAGCCACAAAAGTGAGTTTTTGCAGACATTGTGGATGTAGTATCTGGGCAGTGAGAGAAAGAAGAGGGTTGGATGGCCCCACCTTCTTTTGTTAAGAAGTAGATGGACTGTAAGTTCTGAATGAAATGAAAATACCCAAACACAGACACTCTTTCCTCCCTCTCTTGGCAAATGCAAATCAGACCAAGCTTCAGCTATATTTAGGTGCTATTGACAAAGACTGTGCGAGTCCAGAGACAGTCTGACCTCATGCATCTTCTAGTCAAGTAAGAGTATATAAGTGTAAACAGCTAATGTACAAGGGAAAGTTAAGGAATGGGCCACAGAAGAGAGGACTGAAAGTTTAAAAGAAAGTAAGGAGGCTGGCCGAGAGGATGAGGAAGAGTTTGGGGGGACATATAATTTGAGGTGGACTACCATGATAGGTAAGATTTCAATAGACTGGATGTCAAGAAGACGTTCCTGGGAATAAGAACTACAAGAACAAAGGCTAAGAGGTGAGACCATGGAGGTCACACTGGGAAAAAGGCAGGGCATAGAACTTAAAGTCTATATAGGGGAGAAAAATATACTACATATAGAAGGAACACACTTTCAGACCATAAGCTGAATTTAGCTATCTAATGACTTGTTTGACCTGGTCAATATTTACTTTTCTTTTTTAACTGAAAAGAGAGAGAGTTTTGTTTGAATGAGCTACCAGTATTTAAATAATGGGAAGTTACACATAAAACTCTAAATGTTTGGCTTCTCTTGAAAAAATCTAAAGTTCTGGCAGCAATGCTAGGCCTGTATTTCCACATATCAGTAATTAGGAGAGATGAGAAGCAGACCTCTGAACAGGGCCCAAAGTCTGTTGATGGCCACAGTTCTATCACTTCCTATCACCTCTGCAAATGTCAGTTACCATTTATTATTATGACTAGGCTGCCTTATTCTTGTTGTCATTTGTAGTAAAGACACAAGTTTTTCTTAAACCTTGCTTCCCATATGTCTGATGCCTGTAGGGTATTTGAGTTGTTTTTACCTCCAACATAAAGGGAGACATTGAACATCAGCTGGAAGCATTTATTCTTCATTTGGTAGCCAGCAAAACTTTGAAATATTTGGAGAATTTAAGTGGCTGAATGGCCTGTGCCTTACGAAGCGTAATCTAGAAAAGGAAAATGAATTAATGGCAGAGGGAAAATCGAGGTGGAAAAAACAATGAGAGGCCAATTCTTCAGTCAGCTAAGAGTAAAGAGGGTTGGACTTTGGCAGCATGAGTGGGGAAAAAAGACACACATCAGAGATACTGCAAAGATAGGAGCAAGCAACCACTGAATTGGAAGAAAAGATGAAGAAGGTGCAAGCAATTCAAATGACACTTGGGGCGCCTGGTTGGTTCAGTTGGTTGAGCACCCAGCTCTTGATTTCAGCTCGGGTCATGATCCCAGGGTTGTGGGATGGAGCCCCACATTGGGCTTCATGCTGAGCATGGAGCCTACTTAAGATTCTCTTTCTTCCTCTCCCTCTGCCCCTCCCCCCTCCCCTGCACACACACTCTCCAAAAGAAAGAAAGAAAGAAAGAAAGAGAGAGAGAGAGAGAGAGAGAGAGAGAGAGAGAGAAAGAAAGAAAGAAAGAAAGAAAGAAAGAAAGAAAGAAAGAAAGAAA